GGGCACAGACCATGAAATCGCATTTCCCAACGAGTATGAAGTCCACAGCACACATTGGAGACATCGTTGTGACCAGAATTACAATGGGGAAACGATCCGAGCACAAACCATGAAATCGCGGTTCCCAACGAGTATGACGTCCAGAGCGCGCATTGTAGAAAGTTCAGAGGTGACATTCACGACATCATTGCGACCAGAACTATAATGGGGGAACGATCCGGGCACAGACCGGGCACAGACCTTGGAATCGCATTTCCCAATGAGTATGCGGTCCGGACCGCACATTGGCGACATCCTTGTGACCAGAATTATAATGGTGCGCCCAGCCGCGCTCAGACAAAATGTACGTTTCACCACACGTTCGTGCACTCGACACGCACGATCTCCGCAGAGGGTTGCTCGAGGGCAAACCTTGAAACCAGAATTACAATGGGGAAACGCAAAATCGACAAAACCTTGTCACCAGAATTATAATGGCGGAACGCACCGCGCACACCAAAAATGTACGTTTCACCACACGTTCGCGCGATCGACACGCACGATCTCCGCAGAGGGTTGCTCACGGACAAACGCGATTCGCGTCTCACCACACGCGCGCGCGATCGATGGCCACGATTCCACGAGAGGGTTGCGTTTCGTAAGACCTGCTCGCACCGCCCCGCCGCCTAAAGAGAAGAATAAAGAAGAAGTTGGGTAGGTGAAGTTGGGTAGGTGTCTTAAGGAAGATGTCTACACCTACCTATCTTCACCTACCTATCTTCACCTACCTATCTACACCTACCTACCTACACCTACCTGTCTATACCCACTTATCAATACCTACCTATCAATATCTACTTCTGATGTACTTTGATATTGTTGATCTGATACTTCTACTTCATATGTTATGTTGTGATGTGATATTATTTTATCACATGATATGAGATGATATGATCTGACATTGATGTGATGTGATATGATATTAAAACATGATATGATATGATATGTTATGACATTGATGTGATGTGATATGATATTATAACCTGATATGATATAATATGATATGATATGAGATTAATAACCTATGAGGTGATGATTAGATGATGATGTTGTGAGGGTGAAGTAGGAGAAAGTTAGTAAAGAATATGAAGTAAGGAAGGTGAAGTAGGATAAAGAGAGTCAGGAAGAGAGAGTGGGGAAG